ACAATTAATTTTAGAACATTTTCTTCTTTCTTGTACTCACCATGATTAGCTCTCCATTTCCCCCAACCTCCCCTGCCTGTATCTCCAAGAAATCATTAGTCCAGTTACTGCCGCTATAGATGTACCTACCTGAATTCCATATACAGAAAAGCATACCAAAACCAAAACAAAACCCTCAAAACTAACCAAATTGAAAAAATAAAACAGAGGAAAAACCTCAATCAAAACAAATAGAAAATATTGAAAAACTTGAACAAATTTAAAATGGATCAAAAGGGAGATCAAATGATTAGGTGTTAACGTTTAACCTAACTACATCTACCAAAATAACCTTTGCAATACTGTCTGATAACAAGGCTATTTACATCCCTCAGCTATGGTCCGAAGGAATTCACAGGAGGCTGAATCCATGTGTGCACCCTGCAAATGGATTTTGGGCTTCCACCGTTAACCATAGCCTTCTGAAAACCAGGTGTTCACAATTGAAGTTCTGATGTCATTCCCTCCTTTGAGTTTGGATTGTAGTATTTACAATCCTTGGATCGCACAGGCTGGTGTGCTTCTTCCATGTGGACTTAGTTGACGCCTCACTTAGATGGCTGCTTGTTTATACTCAAACCTTTAAGACCCAGACACTATTCTTTCTGATTGCTGGACACCATCTAGTTTCTTCACTATAGTTTCAGTGATCTCTCCCCTCTCTTCAGTGATCTGTTCATGGGGCGAGCATCAAGTAGGGTCATGCCAAAAGAATGAATTGTTCTTTCCTTGGGGTTAGAATTAAGTGTGAACCCAAAATCCATTCATAGATCTATGGTTTATATTTGTTTCTAGGTCACCTTAGAGACATCATTGTCGATTTGTATTAGAGAACATTATCAATCATCTTCCTGTGGCATAAGATAGTTCTATTGATAGTGTCATTAATTTAGTCAATGGTATAGAATTTAAAACACAGTTGTGAAAGGAAATTATACAACTCTAGGCTGGTTATGAACCACAATACATGAATTGTTGACTTGTACAGATTAAACTTTTAAATGACTGCACACTATTTACACACAAAAAATGGGGTTGGTCATAGGACAAAACTTTCCATAATATTCATTGACAGTGACAGAACCATGTCTACCAGATTAGTACATGTCATAATCAAGTGAGGAGGGTATTAAAATAGTAAGTGTGTGGTAGTCCTGGCCCACCATTCATTGTGCACCTTCAAGGCAAGAGATCCCAATCAAGGTCCAACGACTACCAGTTCTATACCCTTGGGATAGCAGCCATCCACTTCTTCTCACACTAGGGATTTTCAGCCTTAAGTTCAAGGTCTACAAGTGAATTTGAGATAAGCTCAGAACACTTAGTGGGGTTTCCACATAGAGTTCTTCTGGTAGAGCCTATGCCTGAGGCTCTAAATCTTAGTGAAGATTGACTACCTGTTCTTTCTCCCAGAGCAGTCAGTAGGCTCAACCCAATAGCCTTCTTGTTAGCAGCCCATATTCACCCACTCTGCTCCCAGGGTTCTTGTCCGCCGCAGAACATCTTAGCAAATAGTGTTTATATTGTTGTTAACGCCTCCTTTACAATCATGCTGATGGAATTTCCATGGTTTATATCGACTGCTCCTGAGATGAGAAAAATACAACTCCCTGAAGGCCATCTTCCTGGAGTGGCCTGGCTAGTGTGTGACTGGCCAGGATTCCTAGCCAGCCCAGACCACAATTCTCTCCTTCTGTCCCTCGCCTCACAGTTGCTGAATATTCAGGAGACCACTGCTACTCCCCACTCAAAGACCTTTGTTCCTTGTTCATAACAGTTCTTTGTTGCTGCCCAGATGGAGGAAGCAGCCTCCACCCCCACTCCTATATTTGCCTTAGGCTTTTGCTGTTATAAATGGGAGTGTGTCATATCCTTGGGGTGTGTTGGGCCAGGGAGAAAAGGTGGAGTTGAGTCTCTGGCAGTCTCTGGCAAGCTGACATGTGTCTGTGTATCATCTGCAGTGGCACAGCCAGTCCATGTGTCTGAACATGCCCATCAGAGAGGCAGTGGCTTCATTAAATGTGCATCACCAGACTCTTGCTCCTCAGCAAGGCCCCCTGCATCCCAGCCCAGGTGTCCTTCCTGCTCCTTCAGCCTCCTCATCCCGGGAGTTCTAAATGCGCCGATGGAGCTTGCTGCCTGCTGGCACTATGCTCAGTCCTTGGGTGAATAATTGAAAGACGCTTTGACCCTATCAACCACTTCTGGGAAGCAAGATTAGTCAGGTCTATTCCTATAAAGATTTCCAGCCTCTGAAACCCTAGGGCACAGTTCTACTCTGTCCTATGGGGTGACTATGAGTTGGAACCAGCTCAGTGGCAGAGGGTAATGCCCACAAAAGCAGCCCTGATAGCACAAGGGTTAAGCACTTGGCTACTAACTGAAAGGTTGGTGGTTCAAACCCACCTGCCACTCCAAGGGAGAAAAGACTGGGCCATCTCAACCTGCTTCCATAATGATGACAGCCCAGGAAATCCTGCGTGACTGGTCTGTCATCTGGAGTCACCGGGGTGGAACTTTCTCAAATTTTAATGTAAAGAGAACATGTATTAAGTCCTAAGCAGGACAAGACAAGACACAGGCATCCTCTGAATGAGGGAGACCATGACACAATGTGGTCATGGCGGCCATGGGTTTACAGAGAATCAGAGGCATAAGTAGGATGTGGGGTGACAAAGGAAACCATCACAGAGACATGGGTGGTGGTGGATCAATCAATACATCGCACTTCAGAAGCGGGGAGGGGACCATGAGTGGGACACATTAGCTGTGCTAAGTAGAAGAGCTCATAAGATTGGACCAGGGCCTTCTGACCGAGGCAGTCAGGGCATGACTTATGACCATGTGGCCCCAGTCTGATCAGGTGCACACCCAGGCAAGCCCCTAGAGGAGACTGCCCCTCCCTGGGCTGGTTGGGGGAGTAGGGTGTTGGCAGTTTCTGGTGGCAAGATGGTTCCCATTCATGGCTGATGGTTACAAGGAATTCAGTGGAGGCTTAGTCCACGTGGGGACTTTGCAGGTGGATTTAGGGTTTCCACTCTTATTCTTAGCCTCCTGCGAACCTACTACTCAGTATTTCAGCTCCAAAACAAGGGCACACAACAGAGTTCACACACACACACACACACACACACACACACACACACACACGCCCTAGAGGTCAGTCCTGGCCTTGTCTCACAGCGGCCAGAGGGATCAGATCAGATTAGATCAGACAAGCCTGGCATCCCAACTCTGAGGCTCATCGGAGGTCATACCACGCACAGCCTCCCAGAGGATGTCTTCCTTCCGTCTCCAGCCGCCTCTCTGACCACAGCTCTTCGGTTTTTGCTGTGCCCACCAATGTGTAGCCAGCATTGGCCCCTGCCAGGCATAACCCTGACTCTACAGCAGGGACTCAGCAGGCACACAGGCCAGGGCTCATCGCGCCATAGGACGTCTGCCAGGACCCCGCTGGCCATGGCTCGCTCCTTCACGCCCCTAAGGATGCTTAGCTTTGAGGGGGTGAATAGTGAGGGAGCTGTCTGGGGCACCTGTTGCTGTGTCTTAAGCCTGGACTTTCTTGTTTGGTGCCTTCAGGGCTCTTTCAGGGCTGCGCTGCACGTAGTCTCAGGGTCTCTCCCTTCTCACACGGCAGCAAGAACACTGGACCAGAAGCTCCGGGCCTAGAAGCTTCTAAGGTTTCAGTCTTGAGCTGGCAGGGAGTAACCAACCTCCTTTGCATCTTTGGTTCAATTAAATCACAGGTCCAGCTAGGTTCCAGCGGAGAGGGCATAAACAGGGGCACGAACCCCCACTGGTGTTTTGAAACAGACTCTGTCCACTCCATTTTCTCCAGCCACCGGCTCCCCTTAGCTCTCCCTTAAACGCACCACACACACTCCTGCCAAGGGTCTTTGCACTTGCGGTTTCCGCTGTACCTGGGATGTTCCACCCCTACCCCCACCTCTATCCAACGCACAGATCTGCTCCTACCCTTCAGCCAGTCTCAGCTTCTGGGGCTACCTTATCAGAAACCCCATGCCCCCTCTGCCCCCTTTCCTGTTGTACTTTTCTTCATCTCACTCATCCCTCCAGCATAGTCTGTGTTGTCTGCTTATTACTAATTATCTGACCCCTTCCTTGGAACCCTGTGGGTTTCTAAGACTATAACTGTTTGCAGGCGTAGAAAGCCCAGTCTTTCTCCCTTGGAGCTGCTGGTGGTTTCGAACTGTCGACCATGAGTGTTGCAGCCCAACACATGACCGCTACACCACCAGCGCTCCAGTAGCTACTGAAGTGTGTAGGCTTGTCTGTGGTCGGCTAGGGCCTGGCTGGTCTGGCATGACCTTAGCTGGGGCACTTGGCTCTCACTGCCCCATTTGGTCTCAGCCCCAAGCAGGTTAGCTTGGGCTTATTCACACCGCTGCAGCTGGGTTCCTGCAAGACCTACCGAGGCCTTGGCTTAGAATTGGCAAAGCATCACTTCTGCTACATCTTTGGTCTCAGAGGGCCACATGGCCAGCCCAGATCCACAAAGACATGTGACACCGTTGGCACAGTGCTTGGCATGTTGGCATTACGCAGCAAATGCCATTATTGTTGTTGTTGTCGTCACCATATAGCTACAGAGCACTTAATGCTTTTCCGAGTTTTATCCCAGACTTGAGTGTACCCTGCACAGTGTGAAGATTATCCGAGCAAAAAATGGCCTATTTGGTAAACAAAGAACAGAGCTTATATAACTTGCCTAAGACCACACCTTTAGCCAGTACCTGAAGCTGGGCACTAGGACTCAGCATAGAACTTAAAGCCAAAAGTGAACCTCCTCGTCACGGGTGGTAATCATTGTCCAGGTAAATTAAATATGTAATTAAGATCCAAATGCTTTGATCCCTATCCCAGCCTAGTGACAGTCTCTGGAATCCAAGTCTCCTGCACAAGCTCACTTGAGCGAGTGATCATTTCTTTTCTCTTCACAGAGAATCCCTCTATGGACTCCATCGGCCTCTGTTCTCCGCCTGTGAACTTCCTGCAAGAACTGCCCAGCTACCAGTCCACGGCACGCCGGAGGACCGCCGTCCCTGGCCGAGAAAAGCCAAGTGGCACTTTGCTGAAACCAACCGACTCTTACAGGTTCCCTTTGCAGGCAGACATCACTGAGAACCTCACCAACCAGTCCATCCGAAAGTATGCTCTGAACATCTCGGATAAGCGGAGACTAAGGTCTGTTCAACAGCCACCTGGACACTGGAGGATGTATGTTGGGAGCAGGGGTGCATTTTCTGAAGTGCTCCCCTAATTATAACTTTATTACTTAGGGGAAAGCTATGTGCTATGTTAAGGAGATCCAAACATGTCAAGCTAACATGTTAAAAGTTTATTTCTTGCTCATGTCAAAGTCCTAAGTTCAGGTCCAACAGAGGACTCTCCTGTCATTCAGGAGCCATCAGAGATGCAGTGCTTTCCCTGTTGTGGCCTCTCGTGGCTCCGAATACCTCAACCCTCCTCAAAGTGTCATTGTTGTCCACATACAGGCGGAGTAGTGGGCGCCCCAGTTAACTGTATTGCACAATAAAGCACCTATCACTGTGTATCTTAAGGCAATGGGAACTGGATTAACCTAAGTCAGCTGAGCAGGTCTTCCACTCTCACTTGGGCTCATTATATCTGTGTCAGCTGTGGGTCAGGTGACTGTCCTCAGCTGCACTGGGGGTGAGCTGGCTGTAGGTTGGTAGCTGGCTGTAGGATGACCTCAGCTTGGGTGGTCATTCCTGTCCACCTAAGCTCATCCTCTACAGGCTTGTTCACAGGATTGTGGCTAGCGCCAAAGCGAGAAGCTTCTAGAAGCAGAAGGCTAGGCCTGGACTAGACACAGCATTACTTCCGCATTCCTTGGTCAAAGCAGATCACAAGGCCAGCTCCTTTAGTGGCGTGGTCATAAGAAATGTTTTAAGGTTGTACCAGAGAAGGGGAGAATGGATTTTGGTAGGTAGCTGGCCATCTGCTCTGTGATCATGGAATTCAGAACATCATTTGTCTTCTTGGTCAGTATGTGGAAGTCAAATCCACAAAGTTGAATCCACTCCTCTGATGCCAACAAAGTTCCAGGAGTTCAATTCTAATTCAGCTGTGCAGGCAGCCCTTCTTCCCCTGATTCTGGCCACCCAGATGGAGATGAGCACTCACAAGGTCCTCCAGACTGCCATGTCTGACCCAGTCCAAAGATGCCACCCTCAAGCTTGGGGGCGCCCATGACACCTTCACTTCTAACTTCTTAGTTATAAACTTGGGGTTCCCTCTTCTTCTTTAGGACACTAGTACTAGCTTAGAATGTCCCCATGCCCCTCACTACTGACCTGTGACACCCCTTCCTCCCTCGAGTTTGATAATCTGCTAGAGTAACTCAGAACTCATGGAAACATAAAGAACCAAGACAAGAACTTGGTTCTTTGAAAGAACAAACACAATTGACTACTGTGGCAATTACATATTCTCTTGTCAACTTGCGAAGGGGTGGAGTGTAGCCTTGACAATCAGGTTGCAGCTTAATGACCTCATTTGAAGACACAATGGGGATAAACAGCTCACTGGAGGCCAGACACACTCTCTCTCTGCTTCGTCTCCCTTTGAGACATTCCTGTTGACAAGCCACATGGAGCTATGCTGATGGCAGCCAGAGCCCTGGAGCTGGAGGAGACACGTAGAGAGCCACACCAGCACTAAGATGCTTCCACTGCCACTGGATCCACAAGACTTTCCATCCACTAGCTTATGATCTTCCTGCATTGGCAGTATTGCATGTGTTGCATGAGTCTAAAGAAGAATTTATGGACTGGTCTCGAACATATGGGCTAATATTGGACTATGGACTTGATCTGGATTGGGCTGGGATGTTTTATTAATATACAATTACTTTTTGATAGAAAGCTCTTTCTTATACACATATGAGTGTCTATGAATTTTGTTTCTCTAGTCTATCCAGACTAACACAACAACCCACTGGCAAACTTAACAAAGGAAGAGCAGAAGATGAAAATGTCAAGGATAAGAAATGATTTTTTTTAAAGGAAAATTATAGACCCATATCCCGTATGAACATAGGTATAAAAGTTCTCAACAAAATCCTAGCCAATAGACTCCAATAAAATATATTTTTAAATGCATCATGAGCAAGTGGGATTAACGTTATGATGCAAGGGTGATTTAACATTATAAAATCATTGTAAATAAAAGTGTTTAGGCCCGATCCGGACCATGCAGCCGCCTCCCCCAGCTCTCCCGAAAGATAGCCTGCTGGACTGTGCAGCCTCCCCCCACCCCCACTCCCCCGCCCCCCCCACCTCTCAAGGCCAGAGCTAGACTGCAGTCCCTGCCTCCAGCATTCCAAGGAGCTTATCTGTCAGGGCAGGGTCTGTACAACCCCTTCCCTCAGTGTTCCAGGAAGATTTACTCACAGACCACACCCTGCCTCAGCCCCTGCAACTGCAGCACCAGAAGGCCTTCCTTCCCTTTATCAGCACATACATCCTTGGCTCAAACCCTAAATATGTCCCACTGCCTCACTGCCAAGCGCGATTTCCCTGACCTAATTCATTGGGTCTCGGAACCTGCCCCGGGGCTCAAGATGCCCCTGTTCCTTTCTCTGCTCTCCCTTCCCTCCCGGGAGTTCTTTCCCTGCCTCAATAAAATCTTTCTCAACTTCACATTCCTGGCTAAATTCTCTGTTCCGCACCTCTTTCTCCAACCTCTCAAAAAGAACCAATTGATCCTATCAATTGACACAAAAGATGGCAGTTGAAAAAAGTTAAACACCCATACCTAGCAAAAACATTCACTAAAATAGGGCTAAAAAGGAAATTTTTCAACATAATAAAGACCAGATATGAAAAAACAACAGCCAACATCTCACTCAATGGAGAGAAACTGAAAACATTGCCCTGGTGAATGGAAACCAGACATAGATGTCCTTGACCACCACAACATTCAGTACTGTGGTGGATGCCCTCACCAGAGTTAGGTCTGGCGCTCTCTCAAAACAACTGGAAATAGCAATACCGTGTGACCCAGCAATCCCTAAAGAAGTAAGTGATAAAGCCCTGAACAGATATGTGCACACCCATGTTCATCGCAGTGCTGCTCACAGTAGCAAGGAGAGGAACAACCAAAATGCCCATCAGTGGAAGAATGGATACATAAACTTTGGTGCATACACACAATGGGATGTTATACATCACTAAGAATCACAATGACATTGTGAAGCACCACATGGCATGGATGGACTTGGAGAGCATTGTGCTGAGCGAGATGAATTGATCACAAAAGGACAAGCATTGTATGAGACCATTGTTATAAAGGAAAAATCAAGACAAAGGTTTTCATACCAAAAGAAACAGACTGTGATGGTTACCAGGGGAGGGAGGGGGAAGCAATAAGCCAGAGGGAAGACAGTGTTAACTGTGTGAAGGGTGAGATCGTAGTCCACAAGAGAGAAGAAAAAACAAAGGGCAAGCTATTGGGAGGTTTGATGAGTAGTTTAAGTTGAATTTAAAATTGATGCTTTGAAATGCAGCCCTCCCCCCAATATCACAATCACAGGTTTAAAACAAAACAGCCCTATCAATCACAACAGAACCTTGTCCAACATATTGTAGTCTTAGAAGATGACTCCCTAGGTTGGAATGCACGCAGAACTCCTACCAAAATATCAAGTTTGTGTCCTGATACAAGGAAGCTTAATTGATAACAACTCCCAAATAGGACAGAGAAAGAGAAGAGTTATCTATTAGGAAGCTAACCAACAGCATCAGCAGCAACAAAGGCTATTTGGTGAATGTCCGAATTATTCCAATTTCCAAGTGATATCTCTCTCTCTCTGAGTGCCATCGGGTCTATGAAGACTCACAGAGACCACGGTTTCTGAGACTATAACTGTTTATGGGAGTAGAATGCCCTGTCTTTCTCCAGAAGAGCAGATGGTGGTTTTGAACTGCAGACCTGGCAATTAGCAGCCCAACTCATAACCACTATGCCACCAGGGTTCCTGACTTCCAAGTACTAATTTTGCCTAATATTAATCACATATCACATGCTGGTGAGCTATCATTCTTAAAATACATGGCAGACCACACCAAAAAGTCCATAAAATCCAGTGAGTACATAAAACACAGTTGCGTATATAAAAGAATTCTATAATTCATTGCCTTGACATCTACTTTCCAACTGACCCCTCCTTATCAATCTAATATAATGAGTCAGAAAGCTGGAGAGGTTAATTCAAATCCAAGCAGGATTCAAATGGTAATTAGCCTCCCCAATGCTTAGAAACAGTAAATTGAGTGTTGATGCAATAATAAATGTATAACAAAATTGATTTTACTTAAATAGGCTGACTCAAATCAAAATGACTACAGTCTTGCTCCCAACTCACAAAAATAGGACGCAATAGCTACCTACAACCGTGGACTCCACCATACCTAAATCATGAAGGTAGCGCAGGGCTCAGGGAAGCGTGGTTCTATTGGGCCTCACAGTAGCTCGATGGTCTCTAACAACAATAAGAAGTTGTGAAAAGAAGGGGTGTTAGAGGAGATAGAGCAGAGGGAGTTGATCTCCCCAGGAGGAAGGTCAGGCTTGGGTCCATACAGTCTTGAGCCTGTTGCCCGGGCTGGGTGTTTTATTTGCTACAGAAGCTTGATGGTCATGGCAATGTCGTTGTGCTTATTTCGTATGCAGGGACATTCAGGAGACGCAAATGAAGTATTTATCTGAGTGGGACCAGTGGAAACAGTACAGCAGCAAGTCTTGGAAGAGGTTTCGAGAGAAGGCTCACGAGTTTGCAACCCACCTGGAACTGTGGCGGGGAGACATCCGCAGCATAGAAGGTAGCACACCCTTCCCTCTGCACCATCTCTTTTGTACAGTCGCATGGAATGTGGCCCGGTCCTGTGCCGTCCTAACACGAATTGTGATGTTTGAGCCCGTTGTTCTGGCCACTGTGTCAACTCATGTCGCGAAGGGTCTTTCTCTTTTTCGTAGACCATGATATTCTTCCCCAGGGACTCGGCCTTTCTGACCACATATCGAGACAAGAGTCTCACCACCCTGGCTTCCAAGGAGTGTTCTAAACGTCCTTCTTCCAAGATAGATTTGTTTGTTCTTCTACTCCAGCGGTTCTCAACCTGTGGATCGCGACCCTCTTGGGGGTCGAACGACCCGTTCACAGGGGTTGCCCGATTCATACAGTAGCAAAATGACAGGAAGTAGCAACAAAAATAATTTTCTGGTTGGGGAGTCACCACAACATGAGGAACTGTATTAATGGGTCTCTGCCTGAGGAAGGGTGAGAACCACTGTTCTAGTTGGCTATGAAATACCCAATACTCTTCACCAACACCGTCATCCAAATGCTTCCATTCTTCCGTGGTCTTCCCTAAGTGTTGTCCATCTTTCACATGCGTATGAGCTGATTGAAAATACCCTGGTTTGGGTCAGGTGCACCTTTGCCCTCCAGGTAAGGACACCCATTATTAGAACTCTTAACACTTATTATTATTTTAACACTTGCTATTAGAACTTGCGATTTAACGTGCCAGTGAAGATGTTCATGTTACTCTTTCACAAATGTGTGGGTGTTTGTTTCCTAATTTGGTAACTGTATTTCCACCGGCATTTCCTGCATTTCAAAGCACTGCTCGAGAGGGGTCTGCAGGCATCTTCAGACTATCAAAGGAGCCCAGAGCTCTGCAAATGTAAGCAGCCCCTCCCTCCCCACGGCACTGAGGTTTGGGGATGCAGTGTGCAAACATTCGGAGTCCATAGATATGCAAGTGGTTATGACTTTCAGCTGCTCACCCAAAGGCTGGAGGTTGGAGTCCACCTGGAGGCACCTTGCAATAAAGGCTTGGTAACCTTTTTCCAGAAAATCAGCCCTTGAGAATCCTGTGGATGTGGAATCATTCAACAGACATGCATCCTGAATAAAGGGCTGTTAATTCTGATCTGGAGGAGACATGCAAAATATTGGAACCGTACATTATAAAAATCTCAGGTTCTGAATTAAATTTGCTTCAAGGCTCCCATTTCCCCCCTCTTTGAAGAGGCTGATGTCAGACATCACAAGCTGTACAGAATGAGAAAGGTGTGACTCGGAAAGCCATAGGGCATAGCCAGCCTCTTAAGGAAACAGCCTTGACTCTGAGTCAGTAGACCGAAGGCTTGGTTGCAAGTTAAAAATACAGATTTAAGGAATGCACATGTCGTATTTGAGTGATTCCCCCATTTAGACCTACTATTTCTAGTCGTATCCCACTGTCGTTCTGTACCCTCCTCTTCAAATGGCCCAAAGATAGAAATGCTCCTGACTTGCACACAGAGACACTGCGCTGGGAAAAAAAAAGACAAATCAGCCTCCACGCAGCCTGGGTTTCCATGAGGCAGAGGAAACTCAGCAGCAGCGCTTTGTATAGAGACACAAAGACTGGAAGTTGTGCCAAGATATAAAATTAGAAAGAAAAACAAACATCTGAGCAATGTAGCCAAGCAGAGACAAAATGCCCCTTAGGATGACCTATTTGTTATGATGAAGGGGGCCCCTAGGGGAGGGTATAGACTGTTCACTGCTCAGGACTACCTGCCAGCATCTCAGAAGACAGGCCAGGTGATTTAAGTAGAAAAGAAAGTCAACTATGGGAAACCCTGGGACGCTCTCCTCCTTTCACACGATGGGACCCTTATGAGTCCGCCGCTACAAGACACCCTCAAAGCCAAACTCACTGTTACTGAGTCAATTCCAGCTCATCCCCACCCTGTAGGGCAGAGTGGAACTGCCCTGTGAGTTTCCCAGACTGCAGCGCTCTATGGGAGTAGAAAATGGAATACCTGGGAACTTTTGTATCGAAAGGCATACAAGATTTCTACAGAGCAAACGATAAAACATTGAGAAGAAATTAAATCATTAAATACAAAGGAGCTTCAAGTAGTTTGTGAAAAAAATCCCATTCACTTGCAATTCCATGTTTCCCCATGATTTTTTGGAAGCCCTCTCTTGTACTATAGGCATAGATCAGAAGGTCACGTTCCCTCAAATTGATCTATCTTTAGCACGTCATCCCAATCAGAATCCAAGCAGATTTCATGCATGCATGAAAATGACTACATTGATTCTAAAATGTATATCAAGGGCAAAGGGTCAAGAAGGAAGACAGACATAGTACCAGATTCTGAACTGTCATCAAGTCAATTCTGACTCATAGTGACTTTATAGGACAGTGGTTCTCAACCTTCCTAATGCAGCGACCCTTTCATGCAGTTCCTCATGTGGTGATGACCCCCCAGCCATAACATTATTTTTGTTGCTACTTCCTCACTGTCATTTTGCCACTGTTATGAATCAGGCAACCCCTGTGAAAGGGTCGATTGACCCCTGAAAGGGCCCACGACCCACAGGTTGAGAACCACTGCTGTAGGGTTTCCTGTATACTAAAGCAAATAGCCTCATTTATCTCTCACCCTTGGAGCAGCTGATGGGTTTGAATGGATACTCTTGTAATTAGCAGGCCAACATTTAATCAACGGTCTTTCTAGGACTCATTAGTATCAGATAACCCCATCACTGCTGAGTTAATTCAGACTCACAGCATTGACCCTATAAGACAGGGTAGAACTGCCCTTTTGGATTTCCAAGGCTGTAAATCTTTTCAGGAGCTGAAAGCATCATCTTTCTCTTGGGGAGCAGTTGGTGTGCTTGACCTGCTGACTTGTGATGAGCAGCACAAAGCATAACCCACCATGCCACTGAAGACCAAACCAAACTCATTGCTGCCAAGTTGGTGCCAGCTCATAGCCACTCGGTAGGACAGTAGAACTGCCCCTGTGAGTTTCCGAGACTGTAACTCTACAGGATAGAAAGCCTCTCTTTCTCCCCAGGAGCGGCTGGTGGTTTCGAACTGCTGACCTTGCAGTTAGCAGCCCAATGGGGTTTCAGCCCAGTGTAAGTAATCGCCACACCACTGGGCCTCCTTTAGTACCAGATATCAAAGCTTATTATAGAAATCTCCAGTACTTAAGACAGTGTGGTCCTGGGGCAAGGCTACACAAACCGACCAATGGAACTGAGTTGAGAGTTCAAAAGCCGATCCAGGTCTACATGACTGGTGGACTTGCAGCAGGAGCACTATTGCAATTCATTGAGAAAAGGACTGTCTTTTCAATAAAGGGTGCTGAGCGTGAGACACTCGACTTGGAAAAGAGAAATATTCTTGTTATGTTTATTTTTATTTTGTTGTTGAGAATACACATACACACAATTCCACCATTTCTGCATGTGCCGTTCAGTGACGCTAATTACCGTCTTCCATTGTGCAACCATTCACACGCTCCTTTTCTGAGTTGTTCTTCCCTCGTTGACACACAATCATTACCCCACAGGTTGAGAAGGTAAATATTGAGTCACCCTTCATACCAGCTCAAGGAAGTAATTCCAGATGGATCTTCCATCTTCAAGCGTATCGTTAAGGCTTCCAGCCAGTGGCAGGAAAAATGAGACGTTTCTTCTTCAGTCTTTGACAAGGGTCCCCCCAACCTCTGCTCCCCGTGGTGGATTGAGATGATGGTGTGGGTCTGACTGTTTTTTCTCCCCCCAGGGAAGTTTGGCACTGGAATTCGATCTTATTTCTCCTTCCTGCGGTTCCTGGTGCTGCTGAATTTGGTGATGTTTCTGATCATCTTTATGCTGGTGCTGCTCCCAGTCCTGCTAACCAAATACAAGATCACGAATAGCAGTTTCATGTTCATCCCAGCCAAAGACATAAGTGAGTGACATCTGCTCACGATAGAAGTGCTCCTTTTGAAAATTTAATTAATTCGTTTATTTTTTAACAGTGTCACTAACATACAACTCACATCATACATTTCAGTAGTTTGATCACATTCATAAGAGTTGTGCAACTCTCAAGGCTATCAATTCCAGGACACATCTTCCTTTTACTCACTGTAGTTAGCTCGCCATTTCCTGCCACCCTCACCTGCCATGCCCCCTCGAAACTATTAATTCAGTTGTTGTCTCTCTAGGTTTACCTGTCCTGGTTTCATACACAAAAAACCATAAAGAATCAAAGCAAAACACACAACAAAAACCTCAATGGAAACCAAAGCAGAAAATACTAAAAATTGGAATAATTATACACTGGATTGTGAGGGAGATCAAAAGACAAGGCGCACAGTTTTATCTAACTATAACTGCAGTTATCTACCCTACCATGTATTCTGTCTGCTAACAAGGCCTGGTTCATAGTCAGGGGATTAATTAGAGGCGTAATTCAAGTAGGGGGGACCCTGTGAATGGGTTTTGGGCTTTCCTTGTCATCCATAGCCTGGAAGTGCTCTTTTCGCTACAATGTTCCTTTTGGAGAAATGCCTAAGTCTTAGATGATGGTCTGGGTCAGAATGGGCAAGGTTATGCTGCAGAAACAAGTTGTTCCCAAGCTACAACATAGTAATCATAAGGTTTATTCCTCACTCATGTCACATGCCCACCACAGGCTGCTGATGGCTTTATTCCAAATTGTCTTCACTCTCTAATCCAGGCAGACAGAACAGCCTCTCCTGGGACCATGGACAATCATTGTGACTAAGCAGAAGCTCTGGTAGTGCAGTGGTTTAAGCATTCTGTGCAGGAGAAAGGTCTGCTGATCAGCTTCCATAAAGATTTACAGTCTTTGAAATTCTACAGGGTCACTATGAGTCAGAATCAACTTGATGGCAGTGGGCTGGGTTTGACTTTGGTAGCCAAGGGAGACAGAGCTGTGGCATTCATGCCCCTGAATATGACACACATCATTTCTGCCTCTTCTCCTTGGCCAAAGCAAGCTCAACCACTCCCTGGTATCAGGGCATCGGAGGAGCACCAAGGGCAGGAAAGGGGACTTTCAGTCAGACTTAATACCAGCTGTTTCCTTCACGGTTTTATCTCTGAGTTCCATTATGATGCTCAGGACTACCATTTCCTGAACACAGGCCACCTCCAGACAGCAGGCCAGTGCTAACCCTGTGTCTTCTTAGTGAGTTCTCAACACAAGTCAAGCCTTCTTAGGGTCCCATTTGTTCGAAGTTTACATTTTAGTCACTCTGTAGATATTTATTTGGTACCCTCTGGGGACCAGGCTCTGTGTTAGGTCTAGGAGCTGGCTTGTTATCAGGCCTCTTGGTATCTTCAGATTTCATGCTTTCTACAGAATAAGAATGCTCTGAAATCACTTTGTGGCTCTTCACATCACCACCCCCTGCCACCACCACCATCACCACCACCACAGCGCTTTCTGTTTTAATTCTACTACCCTTAAAACAAGAACAAAGTGTAACCCCCGACTGACTCTGGGGTCGTCTGCCAGCAGGAATTTATTGAGTGCCCTACTGTATGTTGTCTCCTGCTGCCTGATTTCCTAATATGTTCATTCTCCAGATAAGGATGGACTGCTACCAAGGGAACATCACCCTGGAGACCGGTTCAAGCCTTCCCTCTGCTGGTTCCTTAAACTGTCGGAACCTTAGTTTGTTTACCCATCAATTGAGGGTGATCATGCAAATAATGAGATGATTCGTTCCTTATTTAAATAACATCTCATTTTAAAAGTAGCAAATACTTATTTAACTTGTAAAGGTTTTTCAGTTACTTATAAAGCACACAACGGATTTTTAATATTTGATGTAAAATTTAAATTGTAAACAAACCTTATTCAAAAGTACTCCTAATTTGAATTGCAAATAAGCCTCTGGGTGTAGATCATTTAGTACGGTGCTAAGCCCATGCAAAGCACTCAGTCAATAGTTTCTTCAGGTTGTTTCTTTCAAGAAGAGCTGAAGGGTGTGGTGACTGGAGCTCGAAGAAGATAGAGCTGGTCACCTAGCATCTCTTCTTCTACATCATTATTTCCTCCGACTCCACACACACACACACACACACACACACACACACACCTAGTAGGTTTTTCCCTTTTAAAGGCAAGATCAGAAGCCAACCACCCTGCCACCCCTACGCCATTTCTCTGTCTGCCTTTCTTCTTTTTAGAATAATCTTCCTTCGGTCGATGTTGATTGAGCCCCTCCTCTGTGCCAGGCCCCGAGTTGGGTACTGGGGATACAGCAGGAACAACACACAGGTACCCACAGGGTAGACTGCCCAGCAGAAGAAAGTGTTAAGGAAGTGAATCCACAAAGACAGCTGAATTTGGCCATGGGGGAAAGGGAAGGCCTACGTGCTGTGAGATTGAACACCGGGGCACTATAGATTGAGGGTTCCCCACACCCTCTCTGAGGACACAGGCTTCAGCCAAAGCCCACAAGGATGAGTAGAGGCAGTCCGCCATCCTGAGGAGCTAGTGTCTGTTGTGCCTTTAGGCAGAGGGACCTAGAGCAGGGAGTGGCAAACCTGGAGTGGCTGCGTGGCAAACTCTCCCCTAACAGGCCAGATAGTAAATGTTGGCGGCATTGCGGGTCTTTTTGTGACTGTTCAACTCTGCTGGTGTAGTGCAAGTGGCGCAGTAGTTGTGTTTGGCCGCTTACTGGAAGGTTGGTAGTTCCAACCCCTCAACCACTCCTTAGGAGCAATGCTTGTTGTTCGCATTACTGTGGTGAGAAGCATGGGGGAACGTAAGTGAACGGGCATAGCTCTGTCCCACAAAGACTGTCTGCACAAAACCAGTGACTGACCAGGTGTGGTCCACTGTGACTTGTCAGGCCCTGGGCTAGAGGGAAAAGGCCCCCAGTGGCACAGCCAGTGTGCCTTCAACTGTTAACTTAAGGTTGGTGGTTTGAACCCACAAACCAAAGGCTCTGTGGCAGAAAGGCAGCCTGCTTCTGCAGAGATTTTAGCCAACAAAAGATGTGTCCCTCAGGCTGCTCATTGGATTTTGGTGCCTTGGTTTGAAGGTTTCAGGCCATAGTTTCCTGGGGCAGCCTAGTTTATTGGCCCAATGATGTGTTTAGTGTTTCTGTCCTTCTTTTTTAATGCCCAGAGCCTGGAATCTTAGAAATTGGCAAACATCCAAGGACTGAAGTGGAAAGCAAATGTTTTGAGAATGATGATGGCAACAAATGTGCTTGACACAATCGATGTATATCTGTATGGATTGTGGTAAGAGTTGTACAAGCCCTCAATAAAATGATTTGAAAAAATTAATTAAAAATAAAGAAATTGGCAAACACATTAATTGGTGTCTAACCCAAAGCACATTAATTGGTCTCTATTTACCTGGAGCAATAGCGGAAGAAGGAGAATCAGGAATAGGAGGATATGAGATGTGGCACTGTGAATTAGATGGTGGACTGCTAACTACAAGTTGGTAGTTCAAACCTACCAGCGGTTACATGGGAGAAAGATGGGACTTTCTATTCCTATAAAGATGTACACTCTTGAAAATCCTAGCTAGGATCGCTATGCATCAGAATTGGCTCACTGGCAGTGGACTTGGTTTGGGGTCCTGGACTATATGGCAAATTACCCCAAGGAGCTATTACCTCCCTTTGCCACGAGACCAGAAGTACTAGATTGTGCCCTGCTACCGTTACAGAACATTTTGCTCAAAGATTCTATAGAATAATCTTGATAAAATTAGGAAGAAATATAAAACGGAATTTCAAAATGTCACAGACTGCAGACTTATGGGAACCATGGAGGCCAAATAAACCCCTGAAACAACTGCTTTGAGATCATCTTAAACCAAAAATATTCCCCAAAGCATTCTTAAAACCTAATGATTATTTAGCCAAACAAGTTAAAAAAATAAAAAAAAAGATCTGCTTTGAGCATTACTCTTTCTTTTTCATTATTCTTTCTTAGAACTAGCTATATGATATCAAATTGACAGCTCAAAATAAATAAATAAACAAAACTTGCTTCCAATTTGACACATAGTGATCCCAGAGGACAGGGTAGAATGGCATATCAGAGTTTCCAGGGCTCTTTGGGACCCGAAAGCCTCCTCTTTCTCTTGAGGAGCAGCCGGTAGGTTCGAACTGCTGACCACGCCATTAGCCCAGTGTGTGTCGCCCACTTGAAAGGCAGGAACATTAAGGGCAGTAAGTTTATGTCAACGAGGGAGGAATAACTCAGGTGGGCAAGGATGGTCGGATAGCATGAAGGATGTAATTAATGTCAGTAAATTGCACGAAGAGCTTTGAGAAGTTCATGGAAAACTTCCATTATCTTTTCATTTCACTTTCCCTTGAACTAGCTGAAGCCCTCTCACACATGCAGAAACTGCAGAATTGGTAAGTTTTCCTGTGAATATTCTCAACAATAATAACACAAGAAGTAAAATTAGGGGAAATTGCATTTCAGCCAAGAGTGTCCTACTGTGGTCAATAGGAGTGGAAATTGGCTTGACAGTTGTTTTGAGTGGCGGCTAATGGTAACAGTTTTGGGCCCCAGACTCCTTTGACAGAACCCTGCAGGCACCATGGCCAAACATATGGCTTCTAACCAAAAAAATCAGCAGTTTGAAACCATCATCTGCTCTGATGGGGGAAGCCATGACCGTAAACCATGCACTGTATTCCAGTGGCACGCCGTTCAGCTTCCACTTTTCTAAACAGACGAGTCAAAAGCCTTGATCTGCCCACCGCATTTGATTTTCAAAAGTGTCTTGCATGTTTCTGGGGTCACGTTTGCCTCAAAACAACTCGGGGGAATTGCTTGGAGTGCAAAGTAGAGAACTTCCTGGCCATCTCCTTCCATCCTCGCATGCCTTGCCAGTGAGATGACGCTCCCTCCTGTTTGCACCAGCCGTTCCAACGCCTTACCTAATCCTTTTCCTTGTCTTTCTCTGTCACTTGACGGTGATCGTTTCTAGGACAAGAACTGCTTCTTACTCAACTTTTCATCCCCAGCATCCATCTGGCACATCAGGATCAAGGAATATACGTGTTAGAATACTTAAATGGCAGCGCTGGGTTTAGCCTGAGGAGGAATAGACTGGATTACCTCTCTTGTTTTAACAAAGGGGAAACTGAGGCTGATAGAAGGATTATGGGAGATTGTGTTATTCCCTGAGTGTAGTAGTGACCTTGCTTGGCCTCCTCAAGTGGGTGGAGAACGCTGCTAACTGTTGATGTTGGCCACGTGGCTTCTTGGGGGCAGTGGAGTGTTCAGTGGAAGTGTGTATGTCGTATGGTTGGCTTGCCTTATTGCACTCTTGTGGTCTGCCAGGAGAAGAGTGTACCCTCAAAGTTAGCCACTGCCCTTTCAGCCAGGCCTCCAAAAAGGAGTGACAGGGAACAGACTGAACCCAACCGAAAGTCTGGCTTGGCTTACATCCGTGGAATGAACTCAGACTGCAGACGTGCGTGAGGAAGGAAATGTTTGGTAGTTTAACTCACTAAGACTTTGGGTTTGCTGGTTGTGCAGCAAGAGCTGATAGAAAGGAGAGGTGGGTTCTTTTTTTAAGTATAAAGTAATGTCCCTGGAATTGATGTCAAAACAGCTATTGATTTTAAATGCATGTTTATTTTTTTAAATAAAAGCTTCATGATAATTTGCCCACACATATAAAAAGAGCTGTAGATTGAGTGTGATTAAAATGGTACAGCAGTTATATGAATGACATAGCCCCAAACATTTGCAAACATCAGTCTCCAAATAGAAAACACATGTGCAGAACACATATTATGAGTATTGTATATGGACCCATATGGTTTGGAGCCTGGTCCACACATAGAAAATCACAAATCTATATAATTATATGTATACACATACCTAGATGTGTGTACATATACACAAATACATACACAAAGTCATGGTAAGTGGACAAATGATAGCAACTATAAGCACAATTCCACTGATTATCTCTCTCTTTTTTTCTATAGATATACAGTGTACAGTGTATCCAATAAGCAGCTCTGGACTCGTTTACTTTTACAGTTATATCATAGACCTGCTTTCGGGCACTGTAAGTATTTCACATAATTCTGTTATTGGACCCTAAATCTACTGAAGATGTCGTGAAGAGCAATCGAGTTGGTTTTGACTCATAGCAACTTTATGTACAACAGAATGAACCACTGCGCCAGCCTCGAAATTGTTCTTAGGTGTGAGCCCGTTGGTGCAGCCACTGTGTCAAACCATCTTGTGGAGGGCCTTTCTCTTTTTAGCTGTCCCTCCACTTCACCAAGCATGATGTTCCTCTCCAGAGACTGGACTCTTCTGGTAACATGTGCAAAGTATGTGGGATGAAATCTTGCCATCCTTGCCTTTAAGTTGCATTCTGGCTGCCCTTCTTTCATGACAGCTCTGCTTTTCCTTTGAATGGTACTGTCACAAACATCACCATTCAAATGTATCAATCCTTCTTTGGTCTTGCTTACCTGACATTCATATGCTTATGAGGCCATTGTAAATGCCATCGCTTGGGTCAGGCACACCTTAGTCCTTAGTGACATCCTTGCTTTTCAACATTTTAAAGAGGTCTTGTGCAGCAGATTTTCCCAATACATTGCAATCTCTTCAGTGCTGCTGCTGTGAGCATTGTTGTGGATCCAAGCAAGACGAAACTGTAAAGGTGAAACTGAGGTACAGGGAGCCAGACAGACGTAACTGACAGGACAAGGGAGAGCAGAAACAAATAGCTTTATCAGGGGGGAAGCTCCCAGACAAGACAAGGTTCCATGACGTAGGCCAACAGGTCAGGGAAGTTGTGCTCAGCAGCTGGGGGCACAGGTTTTTAAAGGGGTGGTGAGGAATGCCTGGCATTTATGGCAATTAGTATATGGGGTCTGGACACTCCAAGAATTGCTTGTTGACTCCTTGAGGCTTTTTTTGAATCCAGAGCATCTGGTTTGACTGGTTATCTTATCTGGCGGTTATCTTATTTGGCGCTGTGTGCTGCTGACCTTTGGGATGTGCAGGGAAGCATGTGCAGGGCCCTCACCTGCTTCAGCTTAGTCCAAACAGGGCTGCCTAGTTTGGACCCAGCCCAAACATTTCAAACTTCTTAATAGTGGCAATGGGCGGCGTGATCCCTCTTAACTACTTCCTGCTGACATAGGGCGAAGAAAGGGGTGATTAAGAGTTGGAAGGTTCAGGGCCTAGGTTGGCCTGCAGAGGACTCTAAGAGTGGAGAAGAAGCTGATTGAAGGTCAGGTTGGAGATAGTTTTCATTCATTCCTGCAAAAATTTAAACACACACGGAGCTAAAAGTAATAGTACACAGATTATTAACAGAGGTCTTATGAGGCGCATAATCCAGGTCATGGCAGGACTTTGAGACCATGAGAAAGGGCTGGTGGTGCCCCACTGACATTTCCTGATTTCCTTGGCCATGTCGCAGAGCGCTTTAACATTTTATTTAGCTACTTTCGACTTATTGATATAGTGTTCATACCTTTTTTTTAGCCGTTAGCAGATTTAATTCATGACAGTTTTGAAGGGTTACCTGTGCCAGGGATGTAAGTTGTTGTTGCAAGGAGGTGAGAGACTTTGAGGTGGAATTTATTACTAGCTGGAGTTGTTTGTTAAAGTGTTGTGTTTGGAGTATGCTGTGCCCTCATGGGTGAGTGTGCAGACATGGGCTTGTGGACGCATGAATGCAAGTGAGCAAGTTTGCACTAATGGGTGTGAGTGGGAGTCACAGTCTGCAAACTCCATGCAGAGAAAAGTCGTCCTCATCCTGGTTTTTGAAGTAACAGATTAGCTGTGGTTGGGCATTGGGCAGTGACCAGGAGGGGATGGGAGAGGCTGATTTGAATTAGTTAGGCTGCGGGCGACCTGGTCTGCTCTGTCACTTCCCCATGTTCCCGGGGAACTATCAGCTTGATATCCTTCACATTTCTCACACTGTAGTCTTTCTTACCATGAACACACTCACTTCTTTCTCATCGACTTCTTGGCAAACAGTTTTCTGTAACTTTCAAATTTCTTCACATTCTGGCACAGCCAGACATTCTATAATAAGTTATCCAACTCTTTTTCTGATTATTTGCAACTTACTCTGACCTTCTGAAACTTACTGTTTCCATCTAGACTTAAACATTCATTGAAATGAAAACTGTATTAACTAAGTGTCAGCACTTAAACATTCATTGAAATGAAAACTGTATTAACTAAGTGTCAGCACTTAAACATTCATTGAAATGAAAACAGTATTAACTAAGTGTCAGCAAAGGGTTAAAGGTCTGTTGGGAGTCGCTTCTGCTACGTTGCATAAAGGCTGCTGCGACCATTGACCATTCTCGGGGAGTTTAATGGTTTAGTTATAAGGAAGAAATTGGGGGCTTAAAGTAAAGTACTTGTCACTCAAAGTCAGTGGTCGGAGGTTATTTATGACTTAGTGTTTATCTAGAGTTAAACTCTGGTGAAGGTAGGGCACAGGCTTAAATAGATAGCAGTGGAATGAGATAAGTGTGTCTTGGTGGGAGGGAGCAGTTAAGGGAGTTGGGCTGTGTTTGCTTTAAAATTGTTTTAGGAGGGGCTTCAGGTAAAGGCAAACAAATGCTAAGAAGCTGGGGTTAAGGGTGGTGGTGAAAAAGGTATATAGAGTGGGGAATGTGGGACAAAAGAGTATAGCAGTTGGGAACTACTGGGTGTATGGGGATAACAGCTTCATTAATGAGGTGCAGGTCCTGGACCAAGCGATAAGTACCATTTGGTTTCTTACTGGTAAGATTGGAGTGTTGCAGGAAGAGTGGGTAGGAATAATGAGGTTGCTAGAAAGGAGGCATTGTATGATGGGTTAACACTGGGAAGCAATGAGGTCTGTAGGGCCAGTTCTTCCAGGTCCGGTGAGAGAAGGGGAAGGAGCAGAGGTTCTTGAGGCCAAAAGTAAGGTATAAGGAGGCTCCTAACTTATTTAAAATGTCTCTTCCCAACAGAAGGACCGGACATGAAGGGATTATAAGAAAGGAACAAGTTAAGGGCTAGTACACCTGGGACAAGTAGGCTTGCCATCAATATCCATGACAGATTGAGGAAGGACTGCCTATCCCTGAAAATGAGGGCAGGACAGAAAAGACAGCTTCTGTGTAAGAAGGAAATTTACTCACCCAGTACCTTGAGCAATACCCCAGGATTGGAGAGGGCGATGGGGGTCCAGTCAGGGTCTCCTCAGACTTTGGCTAATCCCAGCAGAGTCAACGGTGGGTCAGGAATTGGAAGGACAGTCCCCCCACGTAGAGACGCAAAGGGGCCTTCACTTTTCCAAGGACAGTCAGCCTTCCAGTGTCCACTTTGACCGCACGCCGGGCAGAGTTCGGTTGGAGCTCTAGGCCTGGAGCACTCCCATGACCAGTGTCCCTTTTCTCTGCACCTGAAGCAGGCACCAGGTGGCAGTCGTTGTTCCCCTACACCCTTGCCCCATGCTGCCCTTCTGGGGTCTGGGGGATCACCGGCTGCAGGGCTGCTACTGAGGCTTGGGTTTGAAAATTTAACTTCTGCCAGAACCAGGCTTCATGGGCTGACTCTGCCTGCTCCTCGCGGCTGTTAAAACTTTAATGCCATAATCACTAAATCTCAGACCGGGGTTTGAGGGCTTTTGGGGTTAAAGCATTAGTTAAGTGACTTAAAAGGCAACTGGGTTCTCGTCAGGCTTTTGAGTGATCTTATGTTTATTAAAATTGACTTCTATATGGGATGTGGCCTGAAGCCAAGCCAGGACACACTGAAGCATTTTATTACAGCAGGCACGTCTGTCCTTACCTGCTTGATTGTCCCAGGTCTTTGTCTGGGAACCACTTAGATCGCGGTTGGTTAAATGAACCTGGTTGGAGTTCTGTTGAGCAGCGAGAAAAATGCGTTCCTTCTTATTTGCGGTTAGGGTAGAGGGATGGATGACAAATATATCGTGCCAGGACAAATTATAAGCTTGAGTTAAATAACAAAACTCCTTAATATAGGTGGTGGGATCATTAGAAAAGGAGCCTAAACGCTTTTCAATATGAGATAAATCAGTGAGAGAGACGGAAACATGAACCGGACCACTCTCTCAGTCCAGGCCACTTTCTGGAGTGGACAAAGGAGAAGGGGGTTCTGTGATCGCATGTGCTTGCTAACCAGCAAGGTGAGTGCAGACTCAGGTTCCTCCAGCGAGGCGGGCAGATCGGGAGAAGAGGACGTGGGGGCTCCGGGGGCCCAGAATAGGGAGACAGGTGAGTAGGAGGGGAGACAAGGTGTTCAGGCAAGTCTGAAAAGGTAGACACCAGAGGGGGGGAGGTGCAGAAGCAGGAGAAGAGGAGGAATGTTCTTTAGTCAAGAGGACTAGGGAAGGGGAGCAGGAAATACAGAGAAAGGGACAGGAGCTCAGAGGAAAGGCAGCCTGGACGTACAGAATCTCAGACTACTTGTGAGTTCACTGGCAGAAACTGTCAAAATTTCAGAGGATATTGAAGTCAAAAGTGCGGCGGGAGATTAAAGTTGTTACTTCCCGGAGCTTTCTGACCCCTCCCTCCTGCCGGTCTCAGGGAGGCGGCCATGAATGTGTGCTCTGCTCCCTATCTGGGAGAGGTCTGTCAGAGGCTGGGGGTGTTGGCTCAGAGGAGGCTGAGCAGGGAGGGAGCCTGGAAGGAGAAAGAGAGTCCAGTCCAGGGAGTCTGAGGGGTCTGGCTCTGGGGAGGGGATGGGTGTTGGAGGCACAGTGCCTCAGCCTTTGGGAGTTGAGAGGGTAGCAGAGGAGGTGATGGTGAGGGATACCCAGAATGTGGAGGCTTTACTGGGGGCACAGACAAGGAGTCAGGGGGGTTTCGGAGAAAGATGAGGGGGAGTACTGTCAGGGGCCTGATTAAGAGAGTGTTTGGCTAAGAGAACTTGAGCAGGGTGACAGGTAGTAGAGAGGGACGGGAGCGAAGAAAGAAAAAGACCTGAACATTAGGGACTTCTGATTATTTGTGAGTTTGTTGACCAAAATTTTTGAGGTTGCGGAGAATGTTAAAATTGAAAGTGCTAGGGCAATGAATGTACACA